AGAGTTTAGAATATTTGTTTAAGGTAGCATAGCTAATAAATGGCACAGCAAATATTCAAATTCAGATCTTCCCAACTCCAACTATCATGATGGCAATTAAAAAGTTAATGCCAATATAATGCGCTTCAGTGACATAGAAATGCATAAGCATTCTAGATCAGGGCTAATAAAAATTTCTACAGTGATAGAAATGTTTGACATTTGCACTAACAAAGAAACCACTTAACCATATGTGGCTATTAAAGCACTTGAAATGTAGCTAGAGCAAATGAAGAATTGAACTTATTCTTCTATTTAATTTTAATGAAAAATTACGTAGCATTTATAGCTAATGTCTACTCAATTGGACACCACAGCCTGAGACTATAATGGAATAAAAGGTAACAAGAAAATGGGCAGATAGAGATGAGTCCAGAAGTATGACAATACAGGTAGAGATGGTGGCACAGACAGAAAGGCAGAGAGAGCTGAAGCTATGTGTTCAGAAATTCAGTCTTTAATTAATAAAGATGATTAGATATTTAATTCAAGAAATTGTTTTAAGTTGCACCATAAACTTCACATAATATCAGATTTCCTTTTTTTTACCCATTACCATATATACTCGAGTATAAGCCAAGTTCTTCAGCACATTTTTAATGCAGCTTTTGTGGTAAAATTAGGTGCCTTGGCGGATATTCGGGTCAGCTTATACTCAAGTATATACGGTATTACTTGCTTTTCCTGATAAATACCATGTCTATGTAAGATTGCCTTATAAGCCAATATTAGAGGACGCCAAAAGATGGTACACTTCTTGTAGTAGCCTACTTAGTGCCACATTCAGGGGGAAATGAAAGAAACCATCCCTGAAATGAAACAGATTAAGAATAAATATGCAAGTAAAATGGCTAATAGAAACTGTAATAAGGCCAGAAGGTTGAAAATGTATCCCTAAGTTTAATATACAAAATACATACAAGTGAATATGCTACTGTTTACAAGAGCCTTGGCTAGATCAAGGATGAATTTAATAATGTCACTAAAAACAAATCAGTTACATATTATTTACAGAATAGTGAGAATATTGGTGTGGCTATAATACGTAGGTAGCCCTCCTTATGATACCCCTGAGGAAAGGCTAG